TTTTATTACGTAAGCTGCGTGCATTCGCGTAGAAACACTTTACTCTTCCCTGCCTTTCCTGCACACCAGTACGCGGCGGTCTAAAGCTGCTCGTAGTGGCTGTCCCTTGCTTGTGATCCCTTGCCCCCCCCTCCCCCCCCCCCATCTTCCCCATCCGTCCTTGTTTATCTCGATGCGAGTTGGTTCTCCTGTTTCAATTCCTCGAGGCTTAGTCGGTGAGTGAAGGTCGCACGTTCGGGGGAGTTCCGGGTGGCTTGAGTCCTGTTTTCTGGGAGAGACGGGACATCGAATCAGGATCGTGCCGATGAGGAGTTTCAACCGCTCCGTCCCGTAACGCTTTCGGATCTCTGAGTGACTTGAAAAGGCTCATCGAGAAACGGTTTCTGTTGCGCCCGAGATCGACGGAAAAGAAGAGGCAGGGGAGATGGCTTCAGCGTCGTCCGCCAGAGCCCGCGATTCAACCGCGGACGCAGAAGGTAACCCCCCTCCGCTCTCACCGCCGCCATCGCGTCAACCCTCCCCACGTTCCTCCACCGACCCCCATCGCAGCCGGTGAATGCAGCAGCTGCGGAGAGACGATCGCCGGCCTCTGCTACAAGTGCATCGAGTGCCTCGATTACATGATCTGCTCCACGTGCGAGGCGGACGGCGTCCTCCACACCGGCCACAACGTTCTCCGAGTCGCCAGTCCCATGACTCGCTTGTTCCACTACGTGTCAGGTATGGGCTTTCGTTCCCTCCAGGAATTTTCATATTTATTTTAAAAAAAATAGCAAACTTTCTCATGATTCACGAGAGACGGCGAATATAATTGCACTTCGGCCCGCAATATAGCTCGTGTCATTTCGTTACGTGTACAACATTTGAGGAAGGAGGAGTGTATTAAAAGCTGAAATCAAAAACTCACTTCTTGCAGGTGGAAATCTTTTCCTGGGTATTCCACACGATGAATGAAGAGCTCTTTGGCTTCGTCGCGAATCTTCGTGTTGCTTGCGTTTTTTTTGCAAATATCCTGGTGACAAATTCTCGCGCATATCATGCATCAAGCGCCCGATCTGTGTTCCATTCGATGAAGCAGGGATCGTAAAAATTCCAAGACCTTTCAGATCGTGGAGCCCATAAATAGGTCCGTGGTCGAGCACGAGGGCTACTCGGTAGTTCAGATGCGAACCTGTTCGTCATGTAGGCCTCAGAAAGGCCTTGGTGAAAGCGGAATTATCGAATGCTCGAGATTCCGATGAATCAAATGGAGGACGCTCGAAATATGGAATAAATGAGAGAATCACATCCTTCATCGGGAAAAAAATCTAACCCCCTATTGAACGTAGTCCGTATCCAGCTTGGGGAATAATATGCTCCCTCGTCTACGTTTTTCGTGGAGCCGTGATAAGAAGGCGTAGAAACACATGTTTTTCGCACGATGTACAGGATGTGACGAAACCTAAGACCCAGACACGATTCAAAAGCGTAACGCAAAGACATTAGCAGTAGACACTATTAATGTCTACTGCATGCAGGCTGAACTTTGCGGTACTTTTCCTTGACCGATTGTTCAAGAGGACTTCGCAGGCCGGACAAAATGAACTGACCGGATCCGGCCAGTTTGAAGCCCCTGTCCTAAGGCCTTGGCGATGCAGCGGTTCATCAGAACGAAACGCCTTTCGTATTCGTTTTTTTTCTTCCGCTTATTCGTCATTGGAGGAATGGCTCCAAAGTTTCAACTCGGAAGCGACTCGGCAGGGTGGCTGATGAGTTGGCTGATGAGTTTTCATCCTGGCAAAAACGGCGAATTTCCATAATTTTCCTGAAAAGGAGGCCTGCAGTCAAAGAAGGCAACTAAAACATGAAAATTTATAGAAGCCTTCTCAAAAGCTTTGAGACCTGGTCAAAATTAAATTCTTCCAACTCTTTAGGATCTCATTTCGAGCTGTGACTGGATTGAACAGAAGGAAAGCGGGATTTGATCTGAGAATGAAGCCTGAATTTAGGGAAAATTTGCTATTTAGCATACATAAACAAATTCTGTTCCGCTTGGAGCGCAGCCGTCGCTCAAACGTATGCAATGCATCAGCATCAGTAGCCAATGCATTGACAATGTATCCTCTTCATGAAGATGGCGCCTTGTGGTGAGAATGGGCCCCAGGCGCTCGGGGATTGGGTTTTTGGGGGGTCTTCAAAGGGGCGTCCACTTGGAACAGCTTCGGAGTGTCTCGCGAGAGTCCGCTGCATGACGCCTTTGACGACAATTCTCGATTTCTATAGAGGCTATGCCATCGGCACCGAAGCATTCCCGAGGAGTCCCACTGACTCCCAGGACTGGAGACCAGGACTGCAGACCAGGACTGCACGTAAAGGAGATTTCTGACGTGACCCCGAGGACGCCGCGATGTCTCCTCCCCTGGATGCGACCCTGGGGCGTCCCATGGCCCTTCGCACGACTTGCAATCGCGTTGGATGAGCGGAGAGGGCAGTGGAGAAATCTTCCCCGGCCTCAGAGGATGTCCAGCGCGGTATTCCTCCGACTGGATACGGGAACAGTGCCTTTTTAAAAATATTTTAGTGACTCGTGACAATGAGTCCCGTAACCTGCTCGTGCGATGGAATGAATCGGTGCACCTGGCAACAGTGGTACAAGTCGTGTCAACTCTTCCTCTACGAAGTCATTGTTCCTCAAGATGATAATCCTGGGATGCATAATTATTATATGCAAATTGCCAGATGTGAGGACAAGTCAGGGATTTGCTCAGCGAGTTCTGAAGTGCAACGGAAAAAAATCCAGAGAGTAAACGTCATTCCTCGTGGGTGGGATAAGGGGCAAAAATAAAATTCTATTTGTTCTCGTAAAATCACTCTTGGGCCAAAACGGCTGGAGATAACAAGCCAAAAAATGTCCAGTGCTCAAAGGGTGCGTGGAGGTGTTTATGAAAGGAATTTCCGGAGGTGCCCCAATATTTTAAAGAGCGGCGCCACCCGGCATGTTGTCGTGATAATCTCTATCGGACGTGCATCTGGATGCACTCTTGGGGCGTGCACTGATGTGATCACGCCAGCGAACCAGTAACACATTGATTACATTATGCATTAGTGTCAGGACCTAGGTCATCCTGACTGTTGGTTTCCCCTGCCATCAGAGGACTGGGATTGAACTATTGGTGCGTAGGTATTTCATCATCGATTGCCACTTGAGTCAAGCCCAGGTAGTCATGCAGCAATTGATAGTTTTATTCACTCGTTCAGCAATCATTTCAGCCATTCATTAATTCGTTCTGTCATGGTACCCCTGCTCTGTGCTTCCGCCCCAAGCCTCGAAGCAACTCTGACTCTCAAAGGAACTCGTGGAAGGGCCACTCCTTAGGCTCACACTCAAAGGAACAATGACCTTAATGACGCTGTCATGCAGATGATGAAAATAGCCTTTTATCTTTCGCTGCTGTATATGCAAGTCCTTAAACTGGGGCCTCAATGGTTTTCCGCGTTAGCACTCCTCTCAGGATCCGCAGTCTCTTTCGTTCTTTCATGATGTGGAGGCTCTGCTTCTGATCAAAGTAATTCTAATCAGTGGCGGAGGGAGAGGGGGGGCTTCAGCTCTTCGAAGCGAGGAAAGCGAGGTCTTGGTTCATGTCAACAGTTTGGAAATGAAGAAACCTTGACTTGGACGTTGTATGCGTATCTCTGAATTGTTTTTGACAGGAGACGTACACACAGATGTTCGATGTGACTCCTGCCGCGGCCCGGTGCGGGGAAGTCGCTACAAATGCCTCCAATGCAGGGACTTCAACCTCTGCTCTACGTGCGAGGCCAGCGGGACCAAGCACTCGCAGCATTCTTTCATCAGACTCCCTTCTCGCATGTCGGATGTACGTCTTACGCCTGACCTCGATGGCATAATTGGTACGTCTTCTGCAATTCCCTTATTTTACAGGTTATTTGACGTGAAGAGAGACATTAAAATAATAGACGCGGATTTGTGGACTCGGGATTCATGATTAATAGATTATTCTTAACGTAAGCCTTGATTTTGCATTACTTTTTTCGCACAGTTAAGGTCAATTTTAGTCTTGTAATTGTTGTTACGTGTTTGATTTTTTTTAAATATTGGGTGTAGTTGCAAATCATGGCAATTGTTCAACGCTTTCTGTTTAAACGTTTGATGACAATAATTATGGCAATAATGGTGGTGATGGTAATGAAAAGGGTCCAAACTTTCTTCTACGACAGGTGCAATACATCCAGGAGTGACGTGTAGCTCCTGTAGCAACGGAGTGAAAGGAGGAAGGTTCAAGTGCCTTGTATGTCCCCAATACGATCTCTGTAGCAAATGCGAGCAGTCAAGGGAGCTGCACTTTCACCATCCCATGATTCGCTTCGCCAAGCCGAGTTCCATCGCTTTTACTCTCGCGAACGTCCTCCCTGATGGTATGCTAAATGATTCATAATTTTCCATCAACTTGCTAAGATATTCTATGAAGGTTTAATTTTTTTGGAAAACAATTAATTTACTGTTGACTGCATGTCAAGTGTCGTTAGACACCGAAAATGCTAAGAATTTGCAATATTATCGCTTCTATTAGTTAACGTAGTAAACTTTCAAAGATTTGACTCTGGATACCTCAACAGCATATTCTCATATTTCTATTGAGGTCTTCATCAAGGTGTGTTCTGCAGCGAGTGCGGAGGGAAAATCGTAGAATATCGCTACAAGTGCTTAAAGTGCCAGGATTTCGACCTTTGCATGACATGCGAAGCTGCTTCGAAACACCTTCAGCACCGAATGCTCAGGATACCTTCAAAACGTAAGTCATATCTAAATGTCCTCGTCCACACCAATAATGGAGTTTCGGGTAATCTATAGCATCAGCAAGATACAGATGTTCTTCAGGCCGATGAGCGCCAATAAGTTCTAAGTTGGTGAAGACAAAGGCAAGGCACAAACTCCCGGATAGTCTACAAGTGACATACCATGACCAAATATTGTGCAAGAAATGGAACTTCTCAGAACCCCTCAGAAAGCAATTCCTCGTGTCCACCAGTGAAAACGTCTTTCGAAATTCTTTTCGGGACTGATTAAGTGTGGCTTTGGGACAGAAACTTCCCCTGAAACCCGGTCGTCGTCCTTTCCCCATAGCCGAGATCGGAGGTACAAATGAAGACTGGGAGAAAACGAGGAGAAAATCTGAAAATTCATCTGCGAAGAGGACCACACCCAGACAAGGGGAATCCCCTCGAATCATCCTTAAGGAGAGGTCCATCGAAATGGAAAACGCCCATAGAACGAAACCGCTGGAATCGGAACTGCATCAGCTGAGAGAGCAGCAGTTGGCGGAGCTGCATGAAATGAAGAATGCCGCAATTGAGGAAGAGGCGAAGATGAGGAGCTTGGAACACGACCAGAGGATGGCAATATTAACTGCAATATATGATCGCATAGTCAACGCATCCCTATAAGAGGATGTTCTTCGTCCGATCGCGTCTTCCGTTAATGACCTGAAAAACTGAATTAGTATATTTGGGAAGCTAGCCATGCCTCAAAACAGCCTAAAATATTGTTTAAATTAAATTTATCTATACAAGAAATATACATATACTTTAAATAAGGCGATTCAAATGGGCGGGGGCGGGTGGGGTGATATTCCTCCTTCCTGTTAGTTCCCAGTTGAATCCTAAGCCTCGTTTCCCTTCCTGAAGTTTGGAAAACCTTCCTTCCTATCCCCCTCGCTGCGGGCAATACCATCAGAGTAATGGCTTCTGCCTCGGAATGCCTTTCATACCTCATTGAAAATTGTTATGTTCACTAATTCTTACACTTCTGAAAGTATCTTCATGGTTGTTTTATTGAGGGAAGGAAGCCGAAATTTAACTGACATGTTGCTTGACACTGCCTTTTAGGAAATTGAGTAATGTCTCTTAAAAAAAAATGAACAATTTCATGCATTTCTACTAGGGAGAATTTTCGCAAAGCGTGTAAAAGTGTCTCAACGTTCTTAAGATCTGATTTAAATTCATTACGTTTTTTTTCCTCGAATTAGTGTGTTTCACCTTTCTGCTGTTGCTTATAAGTGCGCGTTTCTTTAGACTGGAAATTCGTCACCATATGCACCTCTCAACATTCGAATTGAATCACTGGTATATATAACCATGAACGTTACATTCACATGCAATCGTTTGGTTTCACCCAACCTTGATCATTTTTTATACAGACGAATGGGTTTCGAACGACCTATCATAAAGGTGTTAGAATACATACACTCACTACGCGCCACACTGTTTCACCTCCGTCGCTACCCTCGGGACTGATAGCGATCCAATTCGAATGTCAAGTGGTGTGTATATATGTATCATATTGATTCTAGTTGTATCTCAGCTTCTTTTCGCAAGTATCCCTGTAACTGTTTGAGGGATAGCTGACCCCCCTAACCCCCTATCGAAATTCATTTTGCTCATTTTGCCCATCCTCTCCAAGCATCCAGATACATCCAGAGTAAGTTCACGCATGTAGACGCAATACATGCCTTGTTTTTCTCAATGCATGGAATAGATAGGTATTAAGTAAGAGTCTCGGAAGTTTTACGATCTAGTGATCTTGTTGGTCTCGAGACTACCACATCTGCGAAATTTTGCGGTCGTCGATGGTGATTTGAATAGGGGACGTTGGAACGATGATGCATTGAAGTCATTTCTTAATGCTCGAGGGTCCTTCAGAGAAGTAGGTACACTTAGCTTTATTTTGAAGACATTAGCTCGGGATTGTAGACAGTGAAAAGCCTACAGTATAGGGCCATGCTTCGTGCTTGAATGCGCCAAGTTTCATGCCGAACCCCCTCAAAATTGTTACAAAATGGCTGCCATTCTGAGTCTCTGTGCGTCCCGTGGCATGCAACGATGAGCGATATGGTCATAAAGCAACGTGCCATTTTCAAACTCTTGTCGAACGAAGTAGAGACTCCCGCCAAAATTCATGACAGGCTCGTGGAAGCATTAGCAGGCAATGCTTTGCGAAGAACAGCAGCTTACAACTGGAAATGACGTTTTTGCCGGTGCCCATGTGAGTGTCTTCGATGAGGGGTTCGGAAAAACCCATTAAATCAGCAGATCTTAATTGCTTTCGTCTAGTGGTGTCACTTGTCATTGAAAACTATCGCATTATTGTGACCAGAAGTTTCAGAGGTTCACTCGCCACTATGGAAGTTCAATACATGATTCATGAGCATCTGCACCCGACATGTCTGCCAGTTAGATTCCACCTATGTTATTCCACCTTCGCAGAAAGACCTGCATGCCACCATTCGCAGGGAGAACTTTGACCGCTACGGAACTTCTGGCGACCTCCTCCAGAAGCGAACTGGAGACGAGACCCGAATGGATATTCATTAAATAGAAAGAATGAAGCAGAGTCCCTCAATGGAAGTATCCCCAGCCCTCGCCTCCCAAGTGTCGTACCGAAAAATCTGCTTGAAAAGTTCTATACGGACATGGAGTTTGTCATTCTGGTGCATCCGATGCCTCAGGGTCTCACTGTTACACACCAAAGACATTCAGAACTTTTGAGGAAGGAACCGCTGCCTAGAGAAGACTGAACCCGCCCCCCCCCCCCCCCCCCCCCCCCCCTCACACACAGGCCACATCCCGACTGAAAACCATCACTGAATCGGGCTGGAGCCTCCTTACGGTTCGGACTTCGCCCCCCAGTGACGACTCTTAGTTTCGGAAACTCGAGGAACTTCGTGGTCGCTGGATTCAGCGCCGTAATGACTTGAGCTTCTCCATTTTCCAGTGTCTCCAACAGGTAGCGAAAGATGGCTATACTGACATTCAGTCACAGATGGGAAAATTTCGTAATGTTAGATGGCTATTACTTAGAGAAGGAATATTGTTGTAAGGTGACGTGCACTGTTTTACATAAACTAATCTGATCTCAAAAATGTTCCTCTATGAGAATCCGTTTGACGGAGATGATCTTATTCCCATAGACGCCCATTATGAAACCAGATCAGTTTAAAGTTAAACAGATCTGGTGCATGTCACCGTAATGATATGTTGTGTCCTGTTTAAAAAAAAAAATTGTACCTACTTTCTGAAGGGCCCTCGTTCTATCGTTCTCAACTAGGACCGATTGATGTTTATTCTAAGGTTGATCTGCTCTCTTAATAAATAAATAAATACCTTTTTTTCGTAATGCTGACTTCGAGTTGCTCAATAAGGACATTATGTACGAAGGAGTTGCAAAAAGACTTGCTGACGCGCCCCGGTCTGTCTGACCCGTAGTCCTTCGCTGGCATATTTTCCTTGGCCGAGAATTCCATACTTTCGCGTCCGGGTCGGGTTGAGCATTCTCTTTCACTGATGAAGAGGCTTATCGCCTGCTTCATTAGGGCATATGTAGTTGCCATTGTCTCAGGCCAATATCTCATTAGTTGTGCATCCCCCCCCCTCGTAAATGATCAATTCATCCGCGCTTTGACCAGTTAGACCTTTTAATCTCTAATCAGCACAAGGTTGTCAGCATTGAAAAGAATAAATTCTTTAAGCGTAACAATGTTGTGTGAAACGTTTCAACGCTGCAGCAATGTTGCCACGACAAAGAGTTCGACGTTGAAAGTACGTCCATGCATCACATTCTTTCAACATCGATCAACCTTGTAACATTTCCTTGACATTTTCTCCCTAATAAGGAATTAAATCAAACAAATTAAAATAAATTCGCTGAAGATCATCCCGGCATCAGAACCCTTTCGACGCCAACCAGGCCATCACCACAGCGTGCCAGGAAAGACCTCGGAGAACTCGCTTGCCACCGTCTTGTCCTCCAGCCTCGCGGTTCGACGTTACTCATCGCCCCGCGGAGAGATCCAGATGCATTCTCGCCTGGAGTCTTCGGTGGAAGGTCGAGCCGTCCTTCAGCTCTTGCCGGCGGGATTGGCTGGAGTCTCCTCGGGCTGGGTCCTTTCGCCTGGCGGGGGGGAAGGGACCGTGTGGACTCGTTCCATTCCGACGTCGTCGAGGATTGAATCGATGGTGACTCAGGCTCTCGAGTCGGTTGGGGCAGAAAATGTTGGCGAGGAAAATGCTGATGATTCAACGTGTGTAAATGGTTGAATTATTGCTTTCTGAGACAACGTGGACAACTCCGTGTTGAAAAATCAATAAATCTATGGCACATCATAGGTAGCGAATAGCGTTGAATTTCCAAAAATGACTTTACCATGAGTGCGTCTCAATGTCCTTTAAATGCGGTAAATCACGAAAAAAAAGTAGCATGGCCACTTCGACAATGTCTCCACATACTGTATTAAACTACTCAACGTTGCTACAACATTGCTGTGCCGATTGGGCCTTATTTGCAACCTTGCCAAACAAATTAAACATTTTCTCTGGTCATTTTCCCGATCTATCGCCTCATTGAACTTGGATCTTGCCTACCACGAGCCTAAGACTTATTCTGGCATAATGAGCTTCTTCCAGCAGCTGATAAGCGGATCCTCTATTTAGGTGCAATCGAAGACCCTGTCCCATCCAACCGCTCCCCACCTACCCCTTCATCAGGTCAGTATCAACTCGCGAAAAGTTATTTTCGGGACGGCATTCCCCACTTCATCGTTCCACCCAAATGATGAATCCGTGCCCCCAGATTCCGTGCCCCCAGATTCCGCGCCGAGAGTGACACCGACCGCGCGAGAATTCTTCTGCCGCGCCTGCGGCGGAGTGTTCAGCGAGAAGCCGAGATACATCTGCCTCCAGTGCTCCACCACTACATACTACCACTGTCCCCAATGCGAGAAGGAGAAGAAACATAAGAGCCACGCCATGCTCTGTGTGTCCTCGCCCCTTTTTTCTCTGGATTTCGATCGCAGTGAGTATTTTTCGTCAGATAACTCCGCATGATTACTGTGAGCCTCAACTATCTCGAGAATAAGCCTTGGACACTTGAAGGTGAACAGTTCATCATGTCAGAAGCCATATGTTTAAAGTCGACATTGCCTTTGTCCCTCCCCCCTCGCAGCATATACTAATACTGAAAGGTTCCAATAATTGAATTACATTTTTCGCGATTAAGTCACGCGATTGTGCGACAAGCTACCGTTAACGTTGAAATCATAAATGAATTTCAAGCCTACAGCGCTCTTCACAACCACCAAATATCACCTTTCGTTCGACAATCAGATGCGCGATGCAACGAATGCAGAAGTACCATCAGCGACGTCCGTTACAAATGTCTCACTTGCCCCGACTACAACCTCTGCCTCGCCTGCGAAGAGGGGAAGGCTCACTCCAAGCACCCCATGCTGAGATTGCTCACGGGGAAGAGCTCCACCCCGACTGAGGAGAATCCGTCTTCTTCAGCGCGTGAGTGAACGTCCATTGCTCATCGTCACCGGATAACCGAATAACTGTTACAGTTGCCTTGCAGCTCTACTCCAGGGCAAGACACTCTGCACGGCATGCAATGCCTCCATCACGGGCCTTCACTACAAGTGCGTGAACTGCCAGGACGAAGTCCGCTTGTGTGAATCGTGCCAAGAAACGGACACGACGCATGCACAACATCGAGTTCTTCGATGCCCTTCTTTGGTCTGCCAAACGAGTTAGTTGAGACGTGATTGAGGAAATTTTAGCATCCTTCGCGGTTCGAGGGCTTCCTCCTCGATGGAATTGCGATTTCGATCAACTTCATTCTCCAAGAGTTCTTCCATGTATGGTGACGATGGAGAGTGGGCTTTCCCTTGTGAGGACGGGGAAACCCGGCAGGCCGAATATTTTCATTTTCCTGTTAGTTCTACTATGGGATAGTAGGAAGGTTTCCCATCCATGAACAACCTCGAGAATTACGTTCATGCGTGCTGCATGAACGTAATTCTCGAGGTTGTTCGAAGGTACGCATTCTATCTGGAGCACGACTGGGATTAATCCTCGATTATTTCTTCTTATTTATTTGTTCTCTCAACGTTACTGCTATACCAATAAAAATTCAATTTCATGGCTGGGAATTCTACGAGGTAGAGATACACTGCTTGACTCACGCCAAATAAGTCTTTATCAGTGAGGACATCGAGGATGTAAATCTTGCAGAGCCGGGAAACACTCCGAACACTCTCGTGGTTCTCGAAATGCGTGACTCGGGCCTTCTGCTTTGCTACCTTGTGGCGTGTTATGCACCGTTACGTTCTCTCAAGTGAAGATTGGTGAAGAAAGTTGGTGCTTTTGCATACGAAATTGCATCTCTTATGCTCCTAACGATCATGCAAATATAAGAATAATCGTTGTATGTCAATTCAATGGAGAAAATCATGAATCCTGGTCCTCATCACGACTATAAAGAAGGGATACTTTTCGAATTGGAGCACCGAGTAGAATTTTCTTCCGTAGAACTATGTCGAATAAGGACTCTTTCCTTCTCACTGATTAGCTCCTTTTTTTGAAGGTAATAGGTGGATGTGTGATGCCTGCATGAGGACGCAGAACCAAGGAGCACGATACAAATGTTTGGCGTGCCCGGACTTCGACCTCTGCTCTTCGTGCGCTGCCGGACAGAATCACACCCATCATCCGATGCTTCGCCTCCAATTCACTCACGTATGCACATATAGGATTTATCGAGGGTATCATGTCTTATGGATGTCTCCTATGCCCTATTATGGACACGTTATGCCCAACGGTAATGGCGCGTCGTAAGAATAATTATACAGAATACCCCTTCTCCTTAGGACTCCCCTTTATCGTAGCTCGGGCGCATTCCTGGATAAGACGAATCTACTGGCATGACTGCAGATTCAATCGGTTTGGTAATTTCTGCAGTGTATGCAGTCCTAAATGAACATTTTTAGACTAACTATGCTCAAATTCGGATGACAATATTTGATGATTCAGTACTTCTGCTCTTGATAGGAAGGGAACGAGTTGTAGAAAGAGGTCAAAAGACTGTGTAATGACAAGGCAAAATGCTCTCAAATCAATTGAGAGCATTTTGCAGCATTGCATTGAGAGCATAGCATTGAGAGCATAGCATTGAGAGCATAGCATTGAGAGCTTTTCAAATCAACTGGAATGAAGTGAATATTGATCGAAAAGGACGAAATATGCCCCCCTTCATCCATTGCAATTGTACAGATTTTCACAAGCTTTTCTGATGCATCTTCAACTGTCGTATTCCACTCGAGTAGTTGCACCGACGACTTCCAAGGAAGTCGTCATGCTATTAAATGAAACACACACATTTTGCAGATAGGGGATGAGGATAATCAGGCAGTTCATCCTTGCTTATGCTAATTTTGCAAATTGAGGAGCATCAAATCATTGGCTTTCATCGACGGTGCCAGTCTAATCTCCTAAATTATGTATGATAGGCGAACTCTCATGGGTAGAAAAATTCAGAGAAAATTCATTTTAGTATGAATTGCCTCAATTCGAGAAGAGCTAAGTTTGCAAGTTTGTAATCCTTGACCATGACAGCGGGTACTGCGGATGGCTACTTCGGACGGGACAACGACCCGGACGTGAAATCCAAAGTGAAATCCCGACGATATCCTCTCCCTTTTGTAAAAAAAAATGAAATACTGTATCTCAAATTTTGATTTTTGAATTTGTATCTCAAATTCGGGAAATCTTCATATTCGTAGAGAAACGCACCTCCGCCTCCAAAGCCTCGTCCAAAGGACATGCGACCAGGCCCTCACCCAAATCCTCGACCGAGGAAGCCGCATCCCCCTCCACCCAGGCGCAGCGCCCCCACGCCTCATCCCCAGAGGACTGCAAATCTGGCGCCACGTGCCTCAGGTGAGCCAGAAAGGCCGATGAAGGTGAGTAAGGATCCAAAGGATGACGCCTTAAGCGCTTCTCGATTTGCGGTACCATCGCCAGAAAGGTCTCATAGAGATTTGGATCGATATTTAGCCACAGTCGCCGGGGAGGATTTTGTTCTAGGATGGCTCTTTGAGGATAATCAGTAATCTTTCATTATTAGCCCGTTTGAGACAATCCAACTGATAGTTTCTGCGAGTAACTAGTACTTAGCGATTACCGGCAGTGCTGAAAAGTACCTGCAGTGAGGCGATGAATGAATCTTGAATCACTAATGCTTACAATGAAAAATTTGCAAGCACCTTCATAGCTAAATCTATTAAACCGAATTTGACGAATGACGGGCACACCTCATACCCGTTGTGGACTTCAACGACCCTTTCCGTGCTTTCCTCTCTCAAGGGGATCTGAAATGCGTATTTTGAGAGCATCGTTGAACCATTCCAGCCAACGAGGACGGAAACCTGTGCAAGCTGTGCCTGGAGGAGGAGCTGGACTGCGTGTTCCTCGACTGCCGCCACATGGTCGCCTGCCTCCCTTGCTCTGAGAGGGTTCAGAATTGTCCCATCTGCCGGATGGTCATCGCTCAGCGGATCAAAATCTTCAAGGCGTGAAGCACGCTTCTCCGGTTGGCTTGGAGGAGTCCAACTTTACCTAACAGTAATTTATCTTTAGAAGCTGGAAATTAGTCATGTCGTTTCGAATTTCTCATATTTCTGCTCTGCAGCCCTCTTGTGGACAATTCAGAATTTTCTTATTTGCATTGTATAATGCTAGCTATCAACAGTCACTCTCTGCAATGCGGGTGACAGCAGGCTCCAAAAATGCCCATCAGAACGTAATTGTCAGAAGAAAGACTCATTTGGAAATTTTCGGAACGTAATTTTATTTTGCACTTTCGACAGTATTAGATTAGATTTTAATAAATTCTGCAAGTGAGGACAGCATCCAACAACATGGAATGCAGACTCGCAAAATTCTCGATCCAGTCTCCAAAAAATTGCATATTTGCGAATGGTATTCCCTTCACCTATCAATTTGATCAATTTATCAATTTTCCCGCATTGCAAATGATGCGATTCGACGAGTCCACAGCTGTATTTTATTGCATATTCATGTTCGAATTTTATCTTGTAAACATATCAAATTCGAAGTCAACCCGCGAATAAATAAATGACTCCCTGAAATTACTCCGCATTTTCCTTCGACCGATCACTCCTGAACCGCCCAATGTGTTTCCTACAAATGCACTTTTGTCGGCCTCGATGGCGTTTCGTCGGCAAAATGGTGCCGATTTCCCCTTTCAGCTTCGATTAGACTCTCGAGACCGTTTGCACGAGAAATGACGGTCGAATGCCTCAGCCATCATTTACGAATAAAGAAAATAACACCCGAAGGTCATTTAAGTCGGAATTATAGGTAAACTTCGCATGTTATGTCAAGTAATTCGGTCATGTTGTGGAGAACATGGAGCATATAATATTACACGATTATGAACACCTATTTCACATCTGTGTGTTTCTTTGGTAACAAATTAAATGTATCTAATTTCTATTAAAGGAGTATCAATGCAAATTTTTCTTGAATCGATTGTACTCAGAAAACAAATATTTTTTTTTAAATAAAGGCACCGCCGAAACAACAAGGAAAGCCCTTAATAATTGCTGGAATATTCTAAGAAATTCCGCATGACCACGAGCGCAACATATCAAGAAAAATATGCAAGCATCAATTTTGCGAGCATGAAATAAAACTGCCGTAAAATTCCGGAGTGAAGCAATAATTTCAGCCAACATTATGCTTCTCTTCTCCTCCGAGTTTTAATTCACGTCGGCCATTCGTTCCTGATGTTTTTCGTGTCGCGTTGGAAACACCGCAAAATTTGTTTTCTGAAATTTTCATGAACCTAAATTGACAGTTTCATTAAAAATTGACAGTCTGATTAAAAATTGACAGTCTGATTAAGAATTGACAGTCTGATTAAAAATTGACAGTTTGATAAAAGAATTGACACTCTGATTAAAAATTGACAGTCAGATTAAGAATTGACAGTCTGATTAAAAATTGACAGTTTGATAAAAGAATTGACAGTCGCTTCAAAGTAAAAAAATGAACCCTTTCCGCGCACGAGGTGGATGGAGTTTCAGGATTGCCACGAACTCGCCGTAGATCGCTACTATCGTATATCGTAGCATCAGAATCGATGATGCTTTCAGGACTTCTCGAAATCAATGGAGAAGTCCTGAAACTCCATCATACGCGGAAAGGGTGCATTTTATGATTCCACTTTGAGCTACTGTCGATTTTTAATCAGACAACGCATGAAACCTTTCGGGAAACAAATTTTGTGGTGTTCCCAATGCGGTACGAAAACTTCAGGGACCTAGATCACCCCCAGCGGGTCTTATAAAGCTTGAAACAGGACGCTTTTTTTTTTAGCCACCCGGTATTTGCAATCCCGCAGAGATGGAAGAAAATGGGCCCCCCCCCCCCCCCCCC